AACTTTTTCTTAAATGTAGCTTCTGGAATGAGTTCTCCAAGCCACATTTTTCAAAATTCAGTAAATTCTTCTTCTAATTCAATGCACAGAAGAGAAAATGATAGGAGAACTTACCCTATTATCCTCCCTTGGTACATCTGTCAAGATGTTTTTCATGATTACAGATTTGCTTTTTAGTTGCTGTGGAACACCTTGAAAGTAGATGTGCGTACACACCCCGTGCTTTAAAATTCTTTATTGGAAAAATGCTCCTTTCGGGTTTTAATTTTCAACTAAATTTTTAGGTACAGTTTTATTAATGAAATTAATTATCAAACCAAACATGTTTCTTGTACTGCATTTAGAAGCAGGCAAAATAGCTGCTGTTCCTGCTTATTATTTTAATATTTAATAATTGTTAAATTAACAAATATGAATCGGACACGAAAATCACAATAGAAATTAACATCTTAGAACTAAATAAAAATATTTCATCTTTTTATGTAAATGTTCACTTTATAGTTAGTCAGCAAGTATTCTCATTTGGGAATTATTTTTTTTCATTACGTAATTTTTACTAATTACTGATTATTCTATATTAATAAAGAGGTGCATTAACCTTCTCATGATTCTCCATTTAATGGAAACCAAAAATTGAACTCATATGACTGAAACTTCACATATATACGAGGTCTGAAATGATAAACAGCCTTGTCGAATTCTAAGAAAATCGTATTCATCAGTGCTTCTTGAAATGTACCACAAAACAATTGTTACTAATTACTACCGATGTTAATTGATGACGGTACCCTTTATTGACCGTTTTCATTGAATCCTAACGAAGTGTAATTTATTACTGATTGAAGTTATTAACGTCGATATTTGCCCGCATATGAAACAAACAGCCGTCAGATTTTCGAATTCCATTAGTTTTAACCGAGCGCTTTTTCTACTGTTCAATATAGTTTTGTGTGTTGGAATTCAGTTTATTTTTGTATTCATTTTAGTTTTAAAAATTTCAATTATTTTGTCTGTAAGTATGTAATAACAATTTCTGCTTTATTTGCCTATTGACGATAAAATTGATAAAAAGGTAGTAACAATTCCAACCGTGCAAGATATTTTAGATAATTTAGTGTAATATTAATTGAAATTTTCTTATTTTTTATATTCTTTGCGTTTATCGTAAAATTTATTTATTAACATTCTAAATCTCTCACAGTACAACATTTATGTATGTATACTTACCATAGTATAAAATAGTAAGTCAAAGCAATCCATTAAGACGGTAAAAGATTAATATTTCTAATAGGTGCAATTAGAAGCATATTATTACTACTTGTACTAAACTATATTATTTATAAATTTACATTTGACTTACCCTCGCAAGCAAAGGCATGGTGAAACCGTTCAAAACCAAACAGTAAACCTTATTACTCTCTATATATTAATCGTTCCCTCTTTATACTACGGCATATAATATTTATTGCGCATGATGATGATGTTTAAAATAATAACTCAGCTAACGCAAATTTATCTAATGCTACTAATAAATTCGTATTTAATTATCGTAAATCTGATTCATAAACAATAACGTGTTAAAAATATTTGCCTTTTTTTCATTACGGACAAGAAAAATAGTTCCTTACGTATATTTTAAAAACGTCGTTGATATTAAATAAGTTTTAATTTATAAGCTTTTTGGGAAAATTACTTTTATTGAAGCAATAAATTAAAACTGAAATTTTGTTTTTATGGATTAAATTTTATATTAGATACCCACAAGAGGTAGTCAACCTGTTATCCTTTACAGTAACTGTGAGTATATATAAGCGATCAGAAAGCGAGAAAACAATTGCTACGTTGAATAATTACGTCTTAATAGAAAAAAATTTATTAACAACAATCATAACTAGTAAACAATAATTGCAAATAATCACAGTAAGAAAAATTCAGGGCCAACCCAGTTCCCACATTTAGGAAAGTTACTGGGTATTGAAGGCATATCACAGCAGGAGCCGATATGAAAAACTACATCCATTCCTCTGGTCCATTCTAAGGACATTTCATCACGTAAAATCCAAAAACCTTAAATAATACAAAATAAATTATTTTTTAAAAAATATCCACCATCCTTCTCGAGTTATTATTAAGCATAATATATTAAATGTGAGAATAAAATGGAATTTTATTTTAAAGTTTCAAGATAAAATT